AGATAATTACCAAGATATTTAAGCTTAAAGTCAAGAAAACTTTTACTTAGAAAAAATTTGTCCTTTTTCTATTGACTTCACCACATATATATTGGATATCTTGTTTTAACTTCAGAGAGCATAATCTCAGTAATAATTCATACATTGCGCTTGTGCATATCATGATAGTTTTTAAGTTTATGTTGAGATAAATAATGATGACAGGTATCAATACATTTGCCAATTTTTCTACATAATCTTTGGCAATTACCTTTACCAGAACAAAACCAAACCTATCTCCAAACTTGAATATCACTTTTTTTTTTATCATATATTTGTTGAACCCAATGTTTTTCATTTTCTGTAAGCCGCAAAATATCATCAAGGCAACTTGTTGATTTACAAATGCCTTCTTTAGTTTCCCAGCCAAGATAATCAGAAGAACTTTCTACACATTCAATAGTTACAAGCCTCTTTTTTATAGCATTATTCACTCATTTTTGACTTTGAACCTTGTAACAGGTATTTTGTAATATAGGAAGTGAATATAAATATTGTTCTACTGCTCTTCCAAATGGTAAACGAATATCACCTTTATCATCAATTTGGAAAGAATATAAAGTCATTATGTATGAAATTGTTTTAGTAATACAGTATAATATTCTACTCTAATTACTTAATGTAATAAGTTAGGTTATGACTTAAAGGTGTACTGCGGTTAGAATTTATATAATGTAATAATGCCTTGTACAGGTTCCTTTTTTTTTCAGAAAGCAGAAAATTTATTCTATTACAATACTTTTGCTTTTATGTGAATTTATTATTACATCATTTTTGTCACTTACTCTTATTTAACTTGCACAAGCTTTAATAAACTTTGAATTTATTACAGACTATATCAATTAATTTATTTATTACAAACTACATTGATTAATTAATATGACATTGATCTAATAATACATAATCATTATCACTAATCACATTACATATGTCGTTATACCCACTTTATATGGGTCAAGAACAATGAGAATTTCTTTTTTATTTTTAGTGGGGTTAAGAAAAATGGGTCAGGTGGGTCAAGAACAATGTTTTTGCATTTGTAGGATTAAAATAAAAAAATTTCATCGAATTTGATTAGATAGTTATAGAAAAACTTCATTTAAAAATTTTTAGATAATGAAAATATCAACATTGATTGTATAGGCATGTAAATTAGCTTGTTTTATTATATATTCATTTAGTTTTTTTATCATATTCTTGGTAGTGTTTGTTGACTGCTAACAAGTGTATAAAAAGCATTATGTATAAATTTATAAAAGTGATCTTACTTAACAGGTAATTAATTTCCAAATTTTTATATGTAATGTTTTTATGTATTTAAATACATGAATTGTTATTCGTTTGGATATTTGATAGATTTATTATTAATTAGAGATGCGGTCTGTTTAAAAATTTTACTATAAAAATGGTTTTAACTGAAGTTAGTGTATAAATAATTTGAACGGGTGTTGATTCAGGTAATGGTTTTTATGTTTATACATACTTATTAAATACTAATATAAACATGATGAAAGAAAAAAAATTTACATGGTGAATAAGTTATAAATCAAGCCAATTTACATATTTTAGCATCATTATGGTTAAAATTTCTCAGGAATTTCTCATATATGTATTAAGTCAAAATTATCTAATAAAAAAGATAAAAAACATGGTTTTTGTATAAAAACTATCTAATGTTCGATTCATCTTTTTTATTAGATCATTTTGACTGACACATGTATGAGCTATTCCCAGGAAATTTTAACTGTAATGATGCTAAAATGTGTAAATTGGCTTGATTTGTTACATATTTGCTGTGTGAATTTTTTTTGCCATATTTGTATTAGTAGTCAATGAGCATGCAAAAGTTTTATATGAAAAAATCTGATCTTTTTTGTTAGATCATTTTGACTTAATATTTGTACAGATATTTTTTAGAAAAATTTAATTATAATTGATACTAAAGTGAATATAAAGGGTTTGATTATGGACAGTTTTTTTTTAGTGATTCAAAATGCTGTGTAGTATTGATACAATCGTAAAAATTATTCAGGTCTGAGAAACTGGTAAAGATGAATCGAATTTTATTGTTGTATAGGCATTGGATATTTATCCTGTTAAGAGTGAAGACCGTAAAATAGAAATTACTCTTTTCATTCTAGTTAATGAATACGAGAGGGATTCTAATATTCAATCAGTCTTTGTAAAAAGTGAATATTATAGCATTTGTGGAAAAGTTGTGCCCAGAATGTATAATGGTAAACTGAGATTAAAAGTAAGTTCGTTTATATTTAATAATATATGTTGGTGTTCGTATTATTGATGATTATTAAATTTAGATAACAGCTATATCATCAACTCATCTCACAATTTGAAGAGATCTTGGTTCGAATAGATGTCCTTTGAAAGCCTCGTTAGTAGGGGTAGCTCAAAATATTCTAGAGGAAATTGATAGTAAAAGTGCAATGTTTAAGTTGTTGGTTAATAATTATGCTAACAAGAATTACAGTTTTGTTATTAAGGTTGTATTTTCTCATAATAGTAGTTAATTTAAATATTTAATGAGTTCTCTTCATCCAAATAAAATGACACTTTTTGTTGTTGGGCATACGGAAGTTTATAGGAGGATCTTTATGTATATGCTGCTAATGTTTCTTTTGTTGTAGTTAATTTTGCAGTCAAAAGGAAAGTTTCTAGCTTAGGTAGTTCTCAAACTACATCTGAGGTGTATAGGTCCATTCGATCAAAGCTCTTAACTGTCCATCAGAATTCTAATGGAAAGTTATCTCAGGTATTTTTAGCTGAAGCAGATAAACATTTAGCAGATCCAGTTATCGATAGTCCTAGTTCAAGACATACAAGAGTTGAAGATGTAGATGATAAAGATAATTATAGTAGTTGTAGTCAGACAGTTGAACATGATAAAAAATACAGAGACAGTAATGGCAAGTTTGAAAAGAGTATTATAGGTGAAAATAAAGAAAAGGGAAAGGAAAAGATGACACAACCTGTAGTGCATAATTTGAGACGTCAGGTTTAAACATTTAATGATATGAATAGGAAGAAACAGTTTTATTTTATGGTTTATTTTTTTTTTTTTATAATATGTTCTATACAAATATGTAATAAATATGTTTTGATGTTTTTTGAATATAATAGTGTAAATGTTATTAGTTCATATGGGTTGTAGATTTGTTGCATGTTAAATGTTTGATAACGATGTGTTGCCATCACTTATAATAAAATTTAAGCGTTAGGTGTATCAATGACAATTTGCTTTTTCAACTTTATTATATTATTCAATTCAGTAATTACAAAGTATGTAGTATAGAAATTTGACGAGACTATCAATTTGTTTTGAGTAGTATATGTTAAACAGTTAAATAGTCAGAATTAATTAGAGAGTAATCGAATTAATAATTATAGCATTAGTAGCAGTATTACTGGTACTGAGATTTGTAATTAGTAAGGATTGAAGATAAGTCGATTATTGTATAATAGAATAAGCAGAGTTTCATAGTCAATTTATGTGCATTTGATTCAAATTAATATAGTCTAAAGCGATTTTTTATTATTTTCGTATATTGCTATTTCTATTTTTTTTTAAGTTTATATGATTATAAAATGTTATTTAACTGGTTTTTATGGTGTGTCATGTATAACGTTATATAATTTTTTTAAAGGTTCTAAATTTAGTAGTATTTTTAGAAGCACTACTTGATGCAATTTTATGCAAGATAGAATATTGTTGTTTGAATGGAGTATTATTTTACGAGTTCGAAGATTATTTTCGCTGATTTGTTCATACGAGTCCTGAGTGTTATGATAGATCTACATAATTGTGGTATAAAGTTTCTGTAATCTCTGAGCATTTTTCAAAATGTTTAAGTTCTTTTTTAAGATCCAGATCAATCGTTACATTAAGTTTAGTTGGGTCGAAAGGTCGAAGTAACATAATATCTTCTAATTTTTATACTTGAGATAACATTATAAAAGTACCAGCTTCTGTTTTTCCACTATTTAGATCGATAATTGTTTTTTTTAGCGTAGTGCCTTGATATTTGAACTCTGTAATCATGAAGGCTAGAGTTATAGATAACTGAGTTTTTTGAAAATCTCAGGTTATATCTGTTCTATTTTTTATCCTGTGTGTATATTTACATTTTCATTTAATCAGATACACTGGTATATTATTCGGAGGAAGATTATCATATGAGCCCAGTTTGTGATTCAAGAGTTCTATTATTATATATTTTGGAGGTTTGTTAAAGGTAATAGTTTTTTCTCCATAAACGTTTGTACTTTCCTCCGCTGACGATTCAACATCATATACAATCTTGTAAACTATACCTTGGACACCATTTACTATACCGTCATTGGTGCAAATATTGATTGTTAGTGCCACCTTCATACTTATTGATAGCGGTAATATACTACACAGAGGATTTGATTTGGTGTCCGATACATCTAGAAATCTTTGCCATATATTGCTATAAACTGGTTTGTTCTTATATATATCTTCAGCATATATATAATAAACTGGCTAATTATGGTATCTGGCATGTTCTATAGTGGCTTCGAAATTGATTTGAATACGTAAATCATTCCTCCAGACCAAAAACACAGTGCCTCTCTATTCTGGTAAATTTACCTTATCTTTTGTTATTACACAATTATGAAGAGTTTCATATTGCACCGGTATTAGATAACTACAATGCAAATAGGGTATTTGTCTTGAAAAACAAGTTATAGGACATATAATTTACTATGTTCCATAACTTGATTTTCAAGGCAAAGACCCCAAATTATTTAACATAGATATATATATTGGGTTATTAATCTGATGCATTTGTTTTTTTAGAATAATCACATGCTTTACCAATTTCCATAGTTCTCTACCATTGATGTTAACTAGCATTCGAGTATTATTTCTATTTATATTTCGTATCTGATTTTTCTGTTCACTTCTACTTTATTAGAACATTATAAGGGTTGATCAAGTACTGGTAGGAGTTGTAGGAAATCTCCAACAAAAATTATGTTCATGTTTGCAAAAGGTATAGTATCATCTTTAAAATTTTTTGCTTCTTTAATGCATGCATGCAGTCATGTTATAAGTTTTTGTTCTATCATTGAAACTTCATCTATGATGAGATACTCTATATTTATCTAATGTTTCTGGAGTGTTTTTTTTGATATTCCTTGAGAGAATTTATATTTATAATCATTAGCATCATCATCAAACCCAAATCTACACAGAGAATGAAGAGTACAACCGCCAAAATTTGAAGCGACAACACTAATCAGCACACAAATGGCAAGAGAATGATTTTGATCTATTAGATCGAAGTATTCTTTAATAGCCTTGATAACTTTTAATTTTCCTATGCCTATGGCACCACCTAAATACATTAATAATTGAGGTAGTTTATTAGGATTACCAGGGTAGATTTGTTCGCGGTGATTACAGACAAGTATAAAAGCCTTTTTTGTTTATTATTCAGATTAGCTGAAATTTTTTGAATTTTGGATTGCAGAATAGTTGGGTTTTTTTTATTAGATGTATAAGTACAAGGTTTGAGTAATAGTTTTCTTCAGAACTTATATTTGTATCTATTTGTTCCATTTTTTTTCTCGACACTATTGTTTTTTGCTATATCTTAATTAAGTTACTATCATTTTCACAAGAAGGTTGTATATGTTCTTCATCATTATAATTCATAGATCAAATTTTCTTTGAAAGTTCAGTTGTCCTTCTTTCTTATCATTAAACTTGTCTTTTAAATATAAATAAAGCATGACGTTATCAACAAATTTCGTATTATGTAGTCCAGAATGCATGATTTCATATGGATTTAACAAAACTAAGTTATCAGTACTGAAATTATCTTGGTTATCCAGTATTTTTGCATCACCAGTATTGTCATAACCCAGCACAGATCTTCTATTTGTTGGATTTTGGCAATCTCTGGGTTTTTGTAGGCCATTTGACATAATTAATGATCTAAAATAGTTTCTTCCATGTATCGATGTAATAGTTCAATGTTATCAATTACAAATCGTAACTGTGTGGATAAGTCTGGGCTTTGTAAGAAAGCATCACAGGCATCATGCCACGAGTTGTATATAGTTATCAGATCACTTACAGTAGTCTATAGTTTAAACAACAGAAGGATACAGAGTCTGTATCTTTCTGCATTTTTTAAACCATTTTTACATGGTATACTTTTTCTATACAATACAGGTATTCTTTCATTTTCATGAGTCCAATGAACTTGTATATGTGTTGCGTGTTGTGGATGTATCATACTATAATCGCAAGAAAATATAGAAAAACTCTTCATGAAGTATAAAAACAATTTTTTATCATACTTTCATATTTATATAAATAACTTTAATTTTATATTTTAGGCGCTTGATTGTCTTGAAAAACCTAATAACCTTCCCAAGCAAAAAAATAGCTTCGAAGCATTAAATTGAACTTTAACCCTATTCAAAAAATAGTAGATGACATTAAAGATTTCGAACGAGCAAAAAATTTCTGAAAACGTGGAGTGGACATAACAAAAACACTTTTTACTGGTAGCAATAAATTCAAATTTAAAGTGTATTTAAAAAAAATTTAATTTGGGTATAAATGCATTTTAAGTATTCGAATTGAATGTAATTCGTAGTAATAATTGTAGTAATAATTAAATAAATTCTTAATTCTAAGTAACTGGTAATATAAATAAATAAATAAATTTCG